TGAACTTTTCTATGTCATAAGTTCTATTTTGCTTCTGCAATTTTCTTTGTCAAAATTGACACATCTCTGATCCATGCCCTTGGAAAATTGAACAATTATAAACACTAACGTTATGGACCAATTTTGAATCTGATTTCTTCTAGTAACCGGAATGTTTACATAAACCAATGTTCGAAACAAATTAGTTAGGTGTCTCTCTGAATTTACTTGTATACAAATGGAGAGTAAATTGGTTATGGACATGCGCCAGGACTATAATTTGAAATATAAAGCTTTAAAGATACTGATCAGACCAATAGACTTCTGTTATTTTCAATTTGTTTTCATAATTTGATTCAATTTAGAGTGTTAGCCACTAAACACGTACACACTTTTGAAAAAGGTCATCTTGGTTCTTGCAAAGTTGCAAAAAATGTCCAACATAAGAAAAGCATATATGAATAATGAAATGATAGAATGGGTTAATTGAAGAGTCCTTTTCCAAACTTGTCTTTTGAAAAGACACCAAAAGAAAAATAAAAAGATCCATTCGTTCTTTTCTCCGAAAGATTTCGTTAGGACTTGATGCTTTCAGTTGTCACTCTCACCATCAGTTATTGGAGTTTTGAACCGATCTTGCCTTTGATCTTTCTTGCCACGCACAGAAAGCAGTGGTAGGCCAAATTGTCACTAGATAAAAAAGCTTTGATTTGTGATTACGGGGCTTTCTTTATAGATAAATGAAGCCACGACATTACGGTATACACGATAAATGATAGTATTCTTCTTTTTCTATTCTTATTGTGAAGGTTATTTTTTCAACTATGCATATAAATATCTGTAATTTATACTTAAAGTTATCTCTGTTATTTCATATGTAATGCATATAGTATTTAATGATACACAAAATAAGTCAAGAATCTACTTGCTTGTGCCATAAAATTCAATACTCCATAGTTTGACTTATCTACTCCTAAAGTTTCATCTTCTTCCCCTCCCTTGTCTTATATATTTTAAATTTATATCACAAAGATCTATAAAAAAAAAATTTAAAAAAAAACAGTTACGAAAAAATCCATAAATTAGCCATTCAAGCTAGAAGAACATAAATAACTACTTATCAGAATAATTAATTTGAAAAAAGAAAAATATTTCTCAGAACAAGGTATAAAATGGACAGAAAAATTCGGCTTGCTATTGCTAACGGAAACACCTTCACTTTAGGAGGATACCTAGACACAAATACCTAGAATCTAGAAGAATGAAAGAAATGAGGAGGATCCCTAGACATAAATACCGGGTAACTGGTGGGGATTAAACTGGTATGGCTTGTTTGGTACTAGGGATAAAAGATAATTAATCTCGGAATTAAATTTAAGATGAGTTTATCCACGTTTGGTTGGGATAAAATCGCGGTATAACTAATCTCGTATTAGTTATTACGGGATTGTAATATTATTTTTATCCATATGAAATGGTGAAATAACTAATTTCGAGATAGTTAATCTTGGAATAACTTGTTTCTCAACCAAACGACTCCATAAAGTTCAATCTTAACTACAATAGAGGTATTGACCGTGCCTTCTCAAATTTTAAGGGTTTGGTGATGAAAGAAAAAAGGGTGCAGCCAGGGTAGGAAGAGAGTGATGAAGTATTGTGGGACCCACAAGTATGAGAGGGCATGCGAAACATAAAATTTCTCGTAACAATCTATCTGATTACCCGAAAAATTGGATAGAGTTAAATTTATTAGTTCTAAGGTTGTGTGATATAATTTGACACAAATCTTACAGAGAAAAAAAAATGCGTATATTCTAGACTATAGGAATGAGAGAAAAAATAGTGAGCGAGAAGAATGAATGAGATAAAGTAAAACAGGCTCAAGAGGTTGATCTTTCAATATCAGAAGTAGACTCTTGTTACAATGTGTGAATCTCTCCATGCTTACAACAATCCCTCCTCTTTATAGTAAAGGGATCATACTTTATATACAATAAAAAATATATAGTGGAGAACCCATGATGAATTGTCTCTTTCCTAATCCCTGCCAGGATTCTCTCTCTTAGTGCTATTGCAACGACCCTTGTCTGTGAGCTCGATACTGACTCGAACTCGATACTGGATCGAGCCATCGGCCTTGACTCGAGCTTGATCCTGATTCGGAGTCTTGATATTCGGGGTGGGCGTTGGCCGATCTATGCATCTTTGACAACTTTCGCGTCGCCTCATAGTTTGATTTGGTTATGGGCTCGATAATGATACCGAGCTGATCATTGATCGGCCTTAGAGCTCGAAGCATGAAGTCCTTACTTCAGACCTCGACCTGACATTACGCAGATACCCTTTGATCGAAGCATTATCATCTCGACCAGACCGTATGACTGACTAATAGGTTTCGACCGTATACACTATCTATATAGAATAGAATATGATAATGCCATGTGTCAAATTATCCACACATCGCACGGGTTCTAATACTAGTATATAGAACAAGTCAATAATCTACTTGATTACATGTGGCGTAAATTTCAATGCTTAACAGAAATCACCATCTAAAAAGAGAAGATAATATTAATTTATCTATATCTATATATATTAAAGGAATAAAGTTACCATATATAATTGGCTTTGTGGTTAAGCCAAGTGGCAAGATAATAAAATCCACTTGGCTATCTTTAGGATAAAATATAAAAAGTATGGAGGGGGGGAGGGG